ATCATATATGGTAGAATTTCACTGGTGAAGGTATTTAAGTCATAACACGGGCTATAGTCTCACCTGGTTAATGGGGAGTTTAAAAATTATTGACATCACGGTTTACAAAAAAAGGGGATTCTCTTCTGAGACTTGGCTACCCGGCTTGACATTGGGTGGGTAGGAGTGATCGGTGGTGAATTATCAGAGGCAGCTCATATCCCAGTCTGTCCCATCTGACAGGATAGGTGGTGTGCTTGACAGACGAGAGGAAGGTTGATGCCGTCATCTGTTGTTAATGGGTCTGGCTCATAATGAGCTGTTGTCATCCCAGAGGCAGGGACAAGTTTTCATACTGTGGAGGGAGTTGTGAGGATGGGACTTTTATCCCTTTAGAGGGCAAGGGGAAAACATATTCCCTAACAGGAAAAGAGTTTATGAAAAAGTTTGTCTAACATCTAAAGTTTAAGCCCCTAAATTCTACTTATATCAATAACTGTCTATGTATCTGTCCAACACCCAAACTTGGAGTGAATTAGTACAGATTCTATGTTCTGGCTCTTAGGTGATGGTTTAATTGATGTCTTTGTTGGTTATTCTCTCTTGTTTGTCACTGACCCTGAAGGCCAGGTGAAGTTTTCTGTGCTCACTGAGTATTTACTGTGCCATCGGTAAACAGCTTTTTTAGTGGATTCTTAAGGATGCGTCAATCTCAGTGAATTGTGGGACTTTTAGCGTTACATATTACCTGGCATATAATACATTTAAGTCTCTAGTCCATAATATTGACCCAATTTTGCTGTAGGATGGTGTTCTGATTCAATTCAGACTGAGGGAAAAAAAATCAATGTGCGTGTGGTACAGGAGTTAGTTAAATGGCCACTGGCTGCTGGAAGTGTAACAAACACATGCAGAAATAATAATACTAATAATAAAAAAAAAAGATTTGAAACAAGAGGTTGGAAGCAAACAGAAGGTCTGGTATAGACATTCGGTAGAAAGGCTCTCTTAAATGAGCCTAAATAAAGCATGATTTGTGCCAAGCTTCTCGGAGCTGGCATTCCCAAGTAAACTCGCAGCAGTGCCAAAGCTCAATAAACAGCAACGGAGAAAGTCTGCCAGCTCCCGAGGACCGTGGTGCGTTTCACCAGTCAAAAGGAGTTAGTGAGGAAGGACGTGTCACAGAGTTGGGGCTGAGTGTGAGTGTTGAAGAGCCCGTGTCGCTGACATGGACCAATACCTAGCCTCTGTCCACCCACTGAGTCACTGAGCTGAAAGGCCTCTGTCAGTGATGGAGCACCGCCTGTTTCTCCCCTTCCTCCTTCTTGCGTGTCATCACCAGCCACACGTTTCTGCAGCAACGGCAACACATTGCCTCCCCCACCTCCCCCCACCCCTCCTCACTGTCCAATAATCATCAAAGCTTGACAGTTCACAGTAATACGAACTTCTGCTTTGGGGGAATGTGTACTGCATTAAATCCACATATTGCAGGGAAGCACTCAGAAGATTCATCCTGGCTTTACTTTATCATGAAGGCAACAGAAACAAACCAGACTGAAGCAAGAAAATCACCCTCTTCGGGGTTTGTGTGTACCAGCATGTATTGTGTTACATTTATGTTTCGCAGTTTCGTACTCACTGTAAACAGGTACCAGATGTTCATTTACCTTAGGCTTTTCATTTGCTTTGCACATGCATTTTTTTCTCAGGGTGATGTATGAAGTACATGGTATGCATTTGTAAAGTTGGATGTTTACTCAAGCAATTCAGATTAATTACCACAGCCAAGTAACAGCTGGTGTCCCGTGTGGGTTTTGAACATGCAAGCTAATGGTGACAGGTCCGGTACAATAATCGCGACGGTGCATTGCTACCCACGTTCTTAAAATATGTTTTCCGAGGATTTAAAAGATCCATCTTTAAAACTTGCTGTGAAACATGCAGTTTTTATTTGTCACATTTGTATCATAGTCTGCTTCTTTGCAAAAGTCTGCTGTAGTCAACTTTTTATCCTATCAAGCTGGGCTCTAGAGTTTGTTCAGGCTGTTTTTCTCATAAAAGGTGTAAACAGCCACTGGAAACAGAAGAAAAACAAATCAGACAGCTGGAGGTAACATGAAGAACCTCTTACTTCACAAGAGAATAGCCAGTGCTCCCAAGCACCTCCATTGCATTTGTATCTACAGCCATACAATCTTATAAACAAGTTACCGTTGAGAAAGAGGGAGTCAGCATTTAAAACAAGCTGCTGCTGAGAAAGGAGTCAAGACTAAAACAGGAGTCAGTGCTGAAGAAGAGGGAGTCACCTCTGAAACAGAGGGAGTCAGCATTGAAGAAGAGGGGGTCAAGACTGAAACAGAGGGAGTCAGTGCTGAAGAAGTGGGAGTCACCACTGAAACAGAGGGAGTCGGCATTGAAGAAGAGGGAGTCAAGACTGAAACAGAGGGAGTCAGCGCTGAAGAAGAAGGAGTCACCACTGAAACAGAGGGAGTCAGTGCTGAAGAAGGCAGAATTGTCATAGAAATGAGTGCCTTAAAACAAGGAAGAAAGAAGATGAAAGAAAAGACAGCTGCCTGAAACCTGCTTTCAAGAAATCAGTATTATGGCGTAATACTGAAACTTTTTGTGATTTAAGTTCACACAGTAATTTGACGGCATTAAAGCAGAGTCAGATGACATGCTTGTGGGATCTAGAGAAGTTCCTTGTAATGTTTTGTCTTGGGGGAAGCCATTAATGTATGTGTGTGCTGGATCAGTCCTTTAGAGGTCTCCACTAATGGAAAAGAGGTGGTTAATCACTAAGAATATGTAAAGCGCAGGAGAAATAAATAATTTAGCTGGTAAAACGGCTCCAAAGAGTTCTCTCGAATGTGATCTTTACACTCCAGCCTTCCTCTCAGTGCAGGCAGGGCCTAATTAGGAGTGTGCTATGGCCACATGCCCCTGGGAACGGGCCACAGCATTGTGGCCATGTGACCCATGACTGACGTGTTTAATGGATTATTGTGCTTGGCCAGTGAGGCACACTGGGAGCCTTCAGCAGCCAATGGGAATCGCACAGCTCTAGGAATGCAGTGAGTCAGGTTTGCCAAAACACATCAAAGTAGTGTTATGTAGACCATAATGGGAAGTTACTGGCCCGGGTGTAATCAGGGAATGGTTTTGAAATATAACAGATGTATCACATATTTGTCTTTTCTGTAGAAATCGTGGTCAAATATCATCAGTGTTGTACAGTATGTACTTATGTAAAACTGATGTAAAAGATATGTACTTATAAGATGTACTTATGTAAAACTGATGTATTTATGTAAAAGATGGATCACAGTCATACCCATCCAAGAATACATTGATTGAATGGGACATTTTCACTGGAGGAATTCAGCTTGAGCATAGAACATTGCATGAAGGAACATCCACTGCTATAACCGCTATGTCACACACACTGTTGAAAGGTTGATGTAGAATCCCATGGTGAGGCGTGTCATAAAATGGGACCCTGTGGCTCTCTGTGGTTGTTGGAACTGTAGAGATGGCTTGTTGGTAATGTTCCCTTGCAGGTTTACCTATGACCATATGAACAGATCAGGCTTGGACTAAGATTTCTGAGGTGTTCATGACTGTCTCCAGAGAACATTTGTACCTGTGACTGGGTTAATTTCCTCCTCCTGTGTTTGCTGGTGTTGGATGGACATTAGGTCACGTCCCTTTACTGCTGCACAGACAGAATGGAGGCCAGCGTGAGTGAAATGGGGGTTTAAGATGTGAAGTAGAGACCCGGCTTGTTAATAGGTCTCTCCATGGCAGACTAGTCACACCCAAGATAGCTATGGTCATAAACAGGTTCATGCATCAAGCCCTCTGAAATGTTGCTGCAAGTGGTTTAATGATACTCCTCTGGCTCTGTGAGTGAGTGTGTGTGTGTGTGTGTGTGTGTGTGTGTGTGTGTGTGTGTGTGTGTGAGACTGTGTGTGTGTGTGTGAGTATGTATTTGTGGGAGTGTCGGCACCATCCTGTGTCAGTGCAGTGCAGAGTGATGTTAGCAGTGCATTAGTGCAGTCGTGTGTAACTAATGTAAACAACATCCCTGCCACTTCCTCCCCTGCACACTGTCGCCGGCCATTTAAAAGCCTGTCAGTCTCCCATCCGGCAGCATCCTGATCCGCGGGGGGCACAGCCACAGAGAGAGGGGCCGGTTAGAGAGCAGACACGGCCGGTGCATTATACATAACCACAGAGCAGTAGGTCATTCATTGTGGGAAAAAAAACCCTCATTGTTATATGGGTTTAACTGCTGCCTTTTAGCGGGAACCGAAAGTACATTTGCCTGATATTTCATAATCCTCATAACGTTTAACTGCATATGCCTCCCGGCCTGGATTTAAGATATGAAGCTGTCGGCTAATCAAAAATGAGAAACCTGACCCTACCAAGGTGATTCATTCGTATGTATGAAGAAAAATACACTTATGTATAAAATGATACAGTAATCGTCACTGAAAATGTTGTGTGACGTATAGATTTATATTACCTGGAGGGCTGAGTCAGTCTAAAGCACACACCCTTGAAAGGAGATTCATTCAGCAGGCTGTATGCAGCAGCCCGTGTGAATAGAAGCAAACAGGAAGAGATCTGTTTCCAGCAGGAGAGCGAGAGAGGCCCTCTGACAGACTGACACCACGAGCCACGATGAGAAATTGGTAAAATACAAAAGCGAATGTGCTGGACAGCTTGACTTTGATTAATGTTGAGCCAAACAGCAGCAAGAGAGGGCAGATAAAAGTAGAACAGAGGTTTGGGGGTGTTGCCTCCACCAATCACTGTCACGGCAGAGGGTCCTCAGCGACCGGGAGCGCTCCTGCACCGAGCCGGCTTGTACCAACCTCGGCCCCTCCCAGTGGCTCTCACACCTACACACCCACACTCCCAGCAGAGGGGACGGTGGGAAAACAGTCTGACCGCAAGGCAAGAAGTTGCCTTGTCATTGCTCCAATGTTTGATGCTTGCATACATGGGGTGGCAGTGTAGCGTAGTGGTAAGGAGCAGGGCTCATAACTGAAAGGTTGCTGGTTCGATTCCCCCGGGGCACTGCTGCTGTACCCTTGGGCAAGGTACTTAAACCAGAATTGCCTCAGTAAATATAAATATACTATATATAAATGGATGATGTAAAAATTGTAACCTTTGTAAGTTTTTCTGGATAAGAGTGTCTGCTAAATGATAGTGTTTGCTTTAAATCAGATATTCCAGCCACACACACACACAGTCACAAATAGACGCACATGCGGACTTCCCTGAGTAAGAGCAGACCGATACGAAACGGCTTACCAGAAGGTCGCCGGGCGACTATTCTGCTGCTTCGCGCTTTGACAGGAAAGCTCAGGCAAAAGCAATTTAAACTCCTCCGTAGGACTGCGGCCCCTGCAATTGATAACGCAGCTCAAAGGCGGCCGGCAGAGCGTGAAGCAGTCAGAGAGAGCGGGGAACAGAAGGCCGTCTCTCCCCGGGAGAGAGAGCGCGCCACGGCATCTCCCCGCCATTCCGGCCGCTGCTGGAAACAACAAACCCGTGCAGGACGCCCGGTGACACGCCCCGCGAGGTGACGTGTCCCCGGCTGAAGGGTGCCCGTCTCCGGGACACCCTGGGGACGATTGGACCATGGGCGTGTGCCCGTTCCGCTGTGCCACTCCCTGTCAGGCAGGGACTAGAATCACATGCGCTATCGTAGCTAACTAAAGCCATCGCACGGATGCAAATGAGTCAAATGTATTAAAAAGAAATGATTTGTAAAACAGCATCTCACATATCGCTGTGAAGTGTTCTCTTGCTCTCCCCTGCATTAGGAGAGCTAATGTCACCTGCTTTGCTATTCAGACAAACACAGCGGCGTTAAAGTTTTGATTAAATCATTGACCTCTACTGTGTGATCTCCACTTAACCACTAACTCTGCACTTAACCTCCTTCATGTAAATTTAACTTTGCATAGACCTTTTTCCCTTATTTTTTTTTACCTCTTTAGTTGTCGCTGGGTGGTTTTTTTATGGATGTATTCTAAAGACTTTCATAATGTCTGTGCTCTCGGATGTTTCAACTCAATGTCATTATGCTGGACTCGTTTTGGTGAACAGCAGTTTTCCACTCGTGGGCAATCACGTGTTCGTTCTGTTCTGTTCTTACTCTGTTCTTCTTCCTTGTCTGTGCCCAGCTCCCTCCATGGTACCCATCATGCACCAGGTCAGCTCCACTATGAAAACCATCACGCTGTCATGGCCCCAGCCGGAGCAGCCCAACGGCATCATCCTGGACTATGAGCTACGTTACTATGAGAAGGTAGGACACACATGAGACTATGAGCTACGTTATTACGAGAAGGTAGGACAGATACTGTACTGTGAGCTATTTTACTATGAGAAGGTAGGACAGATCCTGTACTGTGAGCTATTTTACTATGAGAAGGTAGGACACACCCTGGACTGTGGATTCACATGTGGATTCAAGGCCAGCTTTATTAGGAGGAGCTAACTCACATGATGGACTGTGCAGTGGTACAAAAAGGCAAGGATGGTAGTTTAAGCTCTCACCAGTTGAAAAAAGATACATGCATGTATATCGTCTTCCTTAACCATGTAGAACAGAAATACTCTTGATGTACGACTTGCCAGCACCCACTGAACAACATCAAAACCTGGAATCTTTTAAGATCTGAAACAGTTCCTTGTTGTAACCAATATGAAGCAGGTGTGGGGCTTTCGTTCTGCTTGTCCTTTGTTTAAGCTGTTGAGGAGTGAAGGACTTTGTTGCTGGAGTGTCTTGAGGCAGGAACACAGTTGTCAATGTATAGCATATGAGGTCTGATGTTTGCTTCTTTGAGGATGTCTGGAATTTGGTGATATACGGAGGTTTTTTTTTTGAATGACTGGAATAAGGGCATAAGTTTCAGGATGGATAAATATGATGATTCCCAGCGATACGGGGAGCGATATATGGACTGGAAATGAACGCAGCCGCTGGTGAAATGTGCTCCTTTGGTCCTGAGGTGTGTAATTAAAGCCGGAGAAATCGCACGGTTTTAATTTAAAAGAGATGAATAAAGCGATTTGATTTGCTGTCAGTCCTGTCAGAGACACGTGTGATTAAAATGATGATGCGTTTCTCCTGGCTGCCTGCTCTGTCTGCCGTGGAGACAATTTTCTGATTTTGCATAAGTCCTGGCGGTAATGCAGACCGGTCACTAGGGGGCGATCATAATGAGCGTGCAAACACAGTTGGCAGTACTGCTTAAGTATATGCAAATCAGTGTCAGGATATATAAATGAAGGGTTTCATATTACACTGGTTAGTTTAGTACCTGCTTTTTTCATTGCTCTGTGGGCAGGCATCATGATGTATCACAGTCCCCTTTTAGTTTGATAGAAAGATTCTGATAGAAAGATCCCACAAATCCAGACTAGGCTGGATCATTCAGTCCAGAGAAGCCAATCACTGAAAATATAGATGAGTTTGATTGAATCATGTTCCAAGAAATGCCATCTCAACTCACATTTAAGGAATTTACCAGCTGCTATCCACATGTGCTGGTGTGGCTTTATTTTTATATTTTTCATGAGTGGGCCACTCAGTGTAAAGAGAAGTGCTTGCAGGATGTGTCCGGTCTATGATGGACTCTAATGAGGAACTGTCTCCAGCCTCTCTGTGGTCATTCTGCCGGCCTGACCCCCTCAGGTTCAGCCATGACTGCCGGCCCTCTCTCACCAATTAGACCTAACGATCTCGGTCGGAGCAGCCGGGGGGCTTCAACCCCATGACCCGGCGCGTCTCACCCTCTTACCCTCTGGTTCCCGCCCTCGTCCGGGACTCTAGGAACCTGGCTGCTGTGTTTGTGGAGTAACCTCGATCGCCGTGCTTATCGCCTAACCCGCAGAGAGAGAGAGGGTCTAATCTTTGTTGTGCTGGATTCAGCCACGGGCTGGGATTGGGGGGGGGGCTCTCCAAGGGGGGGTGGAATGGTGTCGAAACGCAGAAGAACCCGCTGCCCTCCCTCCATAGCCGTCCTCCGGGCTGAGTAAAGATGGAGCTCAGAGGTGCGGGGAGAAACCCCCCGAAAAAGGCTTTGGCCCTCTTTGCTTCTCTCCACCGCACATGCTCAGACGTGGCATCCTCACAGGGAGGAACTTGGAGTCCCTCTGCTCCGGAACATTCCGCTGCGCATTCTACCGTTTTTTAACACTGCGCTGCCACAGAGAGGTGTCCTCTCATGATAAAGTGAGCGCCCTCCCCCTTTCCACCCCACGGAGGACCGGCCTCGCTCCAGGGTTCACGCACAGCGCTGGCATGTCAATAAGTCGAGAGTTTTATCTGAGGTGCCAGTAGCGAGGGTTTATTGACCCAGCTCCCACTCAAGACCCTTGTGGCCTAACTGTATAGCAAGCGGATGAGCCCCAGTGCTGTTAGTATGTACCGCATCGATGGATTGTACTTTAGCTTCGTCCTATTTGTTAAGGCGAATTTTCCCACGTTTCTGTAAGGGAGGGGGATCAATACTGGTCCACGCGTGTTGAACAGCTTTGTAATTTAAACAGAGGCGCTTTGAACAATAGAACAATGGAGTCGGTCCGTGGAGCAGACGGTATCATTCATTGACGATCACCAGACGTACTCGGAAGTGTCTGTGCTTGCTCCCGGAGAAACTGGAGAGGAAATTTTGATTTTAACATCACTGAGAGGTTGACAAAAAGGGGCGATGGTAAGGATTGCAGCTCTTGACTCCAGACGCGAGAGAAAGTGTAACATAATTGCCTCAGACTGTCCCGGCCATGGAGAGGAAAAGAAGAAAAAAAAAAAAAAAAACAGGATTATTCCATTTCCTCTCCCTCAGAAAAAAAAAACAGAGGAAGAAAAACAGTAATGGTGGTGTGATTATTTGACAGATACACCTTGTGGTTTTTGGCTCTATTCTGAGGGTGAAAATGACAGGCTGGTGACAGGAACAGTGGCGCGATGGAACAGAGCTCTCAGCGGCAGAGGGGTTCACTGACCCTTAATGTCTGACTGACCCTTTCAGACTCACAGAGGTCAGCCTCATTCTCCTCCACAGTTATGTGCCTTTGGCAGGGCCCATATCATGAGGGTTGGGGAAAATAGGACAGAGTCATGGCTGCGGCGTGTGTGGAAGATGGAGCCATTGAAGCCATTTTGTGTGTGTGGGTGTGTGTGTGTCTGGCTGTCTGTCTGTTCATGGGCTCCTGCAGGTAAGGAAAAGCTTAAATAACATTACATTACTTTTTTTGTCATTTAGCACACACTGTTATCCAGAGCAAAGTAAATTAGGTTACAGTCTTTAAATGTTATCCATTTATACAGCTACACACATACAAACACACATACACACAAGCATACAAGTATACACACTCACATGCAAACCCATACTCATATTCACACACACACACATACACACACACACACACACACACACACACACAGTCGTGGGGCATTGGAGCTGCAGGTGTGCACCCAGACATTCCACCCTCAGCCTCAGCTGTTTGTCATGTGCAGACAGTGTGAGAGAGCTCTGGGGTCCCCCTGGTGGGCAGTGCCCTTAATAACGCCTGCAGCTCTTGTCACAACATCCAGGTGTGTGGGAGAGCGCCCTGTCATAATAGCCTTGTCTTAGCAGGCAGCGAGGGGCATGCCAACATGAGGCCGTGCCTTACAGTAATGCCCCTGTTAATAGTGTTAATACAGAGCTGCAGTGCAGTCTGAGAGGCCGTACTCTGTTGTGCGCACCGCAGGAAGTGGTGAGGGCAATAAAAGCACTGTTTCAGGCCAGGGAGCCTCTTTATATTTTATACTGATGTATTAGAGAATTGCTTAGCAGTCACCTTCGTTCAGACAGGGCTTAAATTTTTACGCATCGCTCAGATTTATAGCCGACCGTCCTAATGCAGCGATCCGGGTTCAGGCGCTATGCTCAAGGATAAAACAGCTCCTCACCAAGGATTCAAGCCAGCAACCTCTTTTCCTCCTGTCTGCAGGAATATTTGAAATGTAAAGCACCACAGATGTTTTTTTTTTTTTTTTTTTAATAGGAAATGTT